ACTTTCAATGCATTGTATGCACTAGGAGGTAGATCCCCCTCTAAGAAAATCAAACAATCTGTATACAGTCTTACCTTGGCAGGATCGTATCATTTGGTATCAAAACATCCAACTTGCGTATGCCCAAAGGGGTTTATAAGCCTCAATATGTTCGAGGGATGGAAGAAAAAATTGAAAAAGCTCGAGGGAGAAGTGCAACAACACTTGGGACCGTGTATGGAAACTTTGATCCTCTTCATGGGGGATCTGCCTCCTAGTGCGTACAATACATTAGTAAGTTAAAATAAATCCACACCTTGTTTCTTATTCCTTACTCCTTAGTAACTTAAATATATAGAGGGTTCTCCATAACAACCTAATCTTTAAGATAACAACAAAACAATAAACAAATCTTGCAATAATAAGAGATAACAAAATAATAACTAATCAGCTCACACCGACATGTCCCGCTCAAGCTGGGACTTTGTTCATAAGATCCTAATATTTGACCCTCCTTCAAATCAACCTTGTCCTCAAGGTTGGAAATCTAGGAAGGCCCCTCCACACTTTGCCTTACCTAATCATCCACCCCTAAGTTGGCATCACCATCCAACATAAACAGTTACTGGGGCTACACATGTGGCCCGACGAGAACTTTTCAATACAATTATACCCGAGGCCGCTGCCTTTAGTTTCTTAATTGCAGGGTTTCCATCTTAGAAGCCATTAGTAAGGGTACAGTAGCCTCCTGCCAATTGACTTGAGTTTTTCCTATGAGGCGAAGGCGTCGTAGTTTTCTTCTCGTGCAAGGCCAATTGTGGCCGTCAAGGTTGTGGGCTAGCAAATACTCGTTCCCAATTTCTTCCACTAAGCCCTCGATATAGGAGCTGATCAAAGCCTTTTCTATTCACCTGTTTGCCATCTACTCGAAATTAATTTGATATTCCCAACTATTCCTGCCTATCTTAATATAGAGATGGCTACATCGAAATATTCATATTTGTGGAACCGAAACAGGTACGAAGAGCTTTAACTAGATATGCCAATTTTAGTGTTGTTTGCCCCTTTTCATACTACTGGTACTATTGATCTCCATCTCCCTCCATGTGGAAGGATGCTAAGAGAACCTTTTGTTCCTCTGACGTGTTCTGGAATTTGAAGAACTGCTCTACACAATAGATCCACCCAGTAGGATCATCACCACTAAACTTTGAAACAATCTAAACGGGTTTATTGGGCTTGGATCAGAGTTCTACCCTCTATGGTGTGACACATTCCTCCATTTAATATATTTGCCTTGGTCCTCGGACTTCGATTGATCGACTGGCATGCATCATCTTTTAGCATTGAAGATGCTAGCCGCTCATATTGAAGACTTATTGGGGAGAGGACCTCACTTATCTTGCGCAACAGCTCCAAGTGTTGCTGCTCTTCTCCCTCGAGCTTTTCCAATTTGTCTTCCATCCCTTGCGTGTACTGAGACTTTCACCCCCCTCAAGCTCGATTCTCTAAGACCAAATAGTACAATCCCTATAGGTAAGACCATACACAGAAAGTTTAATCCTCTTCAATGAGGATCTACCTCCTAGTGCATACAATGCATAAATAAGTTAAAGTAAAATCTCCACCCACTATTTCATTATTCCTTAACAACTTAAACATATTGAGGTCTCTAAAACAACCTAATTTTTAAGATAACAAAACAACAAACTGATCGATAACAAGAGATAACTAGTCAAACTAACAAAATCGTAACTAATCAAACACATGTCCCACTCTAGCTGGGACTTTGTTTACTAGATTCTGACATATCTCACTCACCTAAATGTGTTAGTTAAATTGCATATTACCAAGAAACAAAAGATTTGTTTCGGAAAAAAGGCTATTGTGGATTGATGTTTTAAGTTTTATTTTGTTGAAGCTTTTATGTAACACATCCGCCCATCCACTGTATTTGCTTTTTTTTTTTTTTTTCAGAAAAACCATACTATTTCCTAGTTTTTTACTTACCACAAGTTTTTGGTACTTCGGTTTTTCTAGTCCCTTTTCTGGATTGAGAGTTTCTGTCTTTTTTCACTACCATTCTATTGTTAAACTTATTGCAAACTATGGTTGATAAAGGAGGAATCTAATAGATAGGAGGCGAGAAGTGTTTAGAAGTTGAGGAAGAATTGAAGCCCCTTATGAGTGCTTATAATGATTCCAAATGAGGGAAATTGGAAGCTTTTGCTTGTTACTGTTTCTCCTGATTCAACTCCCATAAAGGGGCACAATGATTTACATCATGTACTTCCTCTATATTAGTTTCAGGCTGGTCATCAGTTGGCCCATTTCCCTTTCTGCCCTCTCTTGATAGGTCTCATCACTATTTCTTTTTGGTTTTTTTTGTTTTTTAACCTTTAGCATTGTCTTTACCTGTAGTTCCAAAATTTTAAATCTTGCCTTAAACTGAGTAGTTAGTTCCTGAATATGTGAAAGTTAGTAATTTCTCCTAGTGTAGCCGATATTTATATTTACCACTAACAGATTTGGCTACTCTATTCATCATGTTGGGGCTTGGCCCATTCTAAAACTTTGTTGCAGTTTAGGTGTATTGCCATATTCTTTTCACTGTTAGACTGAACTAGTGAAGTTCCTCACTTGTCTATTTGGAGCAGTGTTCCAAAATTCGCTGATGCGGATTGGGAATCACCAGTGATCTGCCGATTCTCGGTTGTTATCTGTGGTTTTTTAAGGTTATATGTCATAACATGGATATCATACGACAGAGGGGCCAAAGGGATAACTTGGTAGCGTGTTCAGCTTTCCGGCTACACCTTAGAGGTTCAAACCTCACAGGGTACAACATTTTCTTTTTAAAAGTGTTGAACATTAAATAAGATATATGTAACAAGTGTAAGAAAATATATCAAAAACACTTAAAAGGTTTATTTGGTAGGGCCTCCTCTTGTTTGTTCAAACCTCAAGTGCATTAATTCTCTTTAAACGAGAAATTAAAAGAACAGTCCATTTTTGTTTTTGAATTTTAAAAATAGTCCTACATATTTTATATTTTACACTCAAATCCCACCTTTTTATAATAATAATATTGTAATATAATTTTATTCTTTTTTCGACATGTTGATTAAGCTCAAAATTTGGGGCCTACACTTCTCACCATGATGCACTAGTAAAAAATCTTTAAAAATAGAATTAAATTAAATAAAATGGCCAAAATACCCCTACAAATTTCAAAATTTTTGCGTTATCTTGTTTATTTAATTTATTTTAAATATGTTTTGGTATTATTTACAAATATGAGATGTTGAGAGGTATCAACTCTTAAATTTGAGCTTTATCTGATGCATAGAAAAGGAAATAAAATTAATTTACAATATGCATTCTAAAATAGTGGGACTTAAACATAGAACATAAATATACAAGAATATTTGTAAATTTTGATAATAAATTTAGATTTTTCCCCATAAGTTTCCCTTTCTTAAAAAATGAAAGATTGTTATTTGTCTTAAAAGAAAAATCATGTTTTAAATGCAAAAAAGCTATCCGGACATCACGGATTGAGTGGGGGATCAAAGTCCTCCCACGAAACTAAGGGCCTTCATTTGTCTTAGAATGCAAGCATTAAAATGTACATTTGATAATTGAAAATTTTTTTAATATAAAATCTACCGGATCCGGCTGATCCAGCCAATTGGGATTGAGATCCATGGGTGGGGGGATCCATGGGTGGGCAATCTGCCCTACCAATCCGTTTTTTAAAACACTGATTTGGAGTATGGGGTGTGATGTCGGACAAAGATTACCTTTTCTGAATCTGACTGAATTTATAGCTAGAGCATATGAGAGCTCTGATTGAACCTGAAATGGAGATATGCAGTAGGATAGAAAGAAGCACAATTTGATTTCTTTTGACTTGTAAGTTGCACCAAGATACAATTCACATGCAGGAGCATCTGGACTTCCATTTGGAATCATCTAACTAGCTTAACTACAGTACTGTAAAAACTTATAGGATGGTCACCCAAGAGCATAGTAGCTCTAGATTGGAGCTACATAGAGAGGCTAGGCTTAGCTTGTTTGGGCTTCTGGGGACAAACTTCAATGGTTCGAACCCCAAAACTCCCTCATGAAAACTGATATGTCCAAACTAAGCCAAATCCTAAGGGACTCAAAAACAGGAAGGCTAGGTCAGCTTGTTTGGTCTTTTGGGGACAACCTTCCAGTTACAAACCCTCGACTGCCCTATATGTCTAACTGAGCTGTATATAGGTTCATTGACAGGCCCAAGAGACACATTCTTGCTGTATATAAGTTCATGTAAAAGTTGTCTTTGCCATATGATAAACAAATGACTAACCTATTCTTAGCTGATAATAGGACTGCATCAGAGCACTTTTTAGTCGTTCCAAATGCACATAGTTTCTAAAATTATTGAAAAAAAATGCATATAGTTTTTGGATTTGGTGCATTGTGCCTCTGCCATTCTGTCTCCTTACGGGTGAATTGCTGACTTGATGACTGCTGATTCTAAGCATCATATTTTACCAAATTCCAGATTTGAGTTTTCAAATGTGAAATGTGGTTTCTTTCCCATATGATTGTCTCTTCATCATCCAGATTTTACTTCTTTACTATATGTATTTTCATGTGGTGCCTTTGCATATTTGTTTCACAACTGTATAGCTGATATTTAACTATCTTGATCGGAAGACATACCCTATATAGTCCAATCGACTTTGGTAAAGCACAATCAGTTGGGAGTCGTGACCATGAAATGATGATCGGTGGTAGAGAGAGACTGGGACCCATCAGAACCAGAACTGACCCCTTTAATGATCTCACTCTGTCCTCTGTTCCTTACCATTTCATCCGACGGTCATGACCCCAATTGTCCAATTTTTGCATGGTTCATTGGGCTATAATTGGCTACTTTCCCTATTTCAATTTCGGTTGTGATTGTCCATTGAACTATAGTATTATTTTCTATGATTCTCAAAGGGATTTGCAACCATTGCTTACAGGCTACTCTTCCTGTTGGTGAGATAACAAAAAATTTGACAAAGAGAGGTTATGACGTGATTCCATCCGATGATGCTGGTCGTTTTGTTTGCAATTATGTTTACTACCATTCCCTCCGATTTTCGGAGCTGCATGGTACTAAGTCTTTATTTGTACATGTCCCTCTCTTCTCAAGGATAGATGAAGAGACCCAGATGCAATTTGCTGCTTCAGTCTTGGAGGTTGTAGCATCCTCATATTAAGCTGAAATTGTTTACACTATCGATGTTGTCATTGTGTCTATCTTTAGGAACTTGATACTCTGGTTATTATTTGTCAATGCACTAAGATGAATGTTCGTTCGGCATTGAATGTATGTATGGATGCATGTATGCTTGGGACCCAACGATGTAAATATATCGGAAGTTGCATTGTATGAGACATGGTGTTGATTGTCATGCAGTTGGGATTTATATAGTCGATGCCATTGTGGTTTCTAAATAAAGGATCGATATGGTTGGCCTTTATATTTGATTCCATTTTCTAAGAGTTTTCTCAACATTTGATCTCACGCCCTCGCCTTCCGGAGGACCTAAAGTATAATTCAGTGAGAGGGAGAGGACATGTTTTTGTGGGCATGAATAATATATCTGTGGGGTTTTTATGCAGCCTCAGTTGCATGCTGCTGCAGGTGTTGTTGATGATGAAATGGATAGCTCCATGCTGCTGCAGGCATTGTCGATGGAAATGGATAACTCCAAGGGATGTTATGGGATTCTCTACAGAGAGAGAATTTATCTTTTGTAGACGGAGGGCACAATGACTAGTTGTAAGAGTGTCATTGAATAGACAAAGTTTTTTTTTAAAAAAAATCGGACTTTGTGATTCATTCCAACCATCTAATTTGACATCAAATGAGTAGGAATGATTGTGACCTCCATGTACAAAAGATGAATGGTCTCTTTGTAGACAATCTCAAAATTTATAGTGTCCATGTAATTTGGATGTTGGAAGGGTAAATAAGCAGTCCATATTGAATATGGGCTAGTCTGAAGGTCACAATTAATTTGATTTTATTGTTTATTTTTATTTATAAATTCAATACTTGCATATTTACATAGTCACAATAAAATAGAAGAAACAACTCAAAAACATGACCAAATACCCCTAAACATTTGGGGTATTTTAGTCGAATTTTTTTTTGAAATTTTTTTTTACTACACCTCAGTAAGATGCATGGACGTTCTAATTTTCATGTAAAAATAATTTGTGATATGAAAATAAAAAATAAAAAATAAATATGTGGTCCTGGGCCCAACTGCAATCTCGACCCCTGAGGGTGCTTGTCCAGGGTCCAATTAGTCGCTGTACCATGGAAAAAGGAAGAGAATAATGAAGATAATGCAATGCTTTTAATTCCAAGTATTAGACCAATGGGAAACAACGACACAAGCTTCAGTGTTATATTTGGTAACAGTGATAACTGGTCTGCAAATTCAGTGAGGAATTTGAGGACCGTTTCCTAGAAAGCCAGGAATTTGGGGACCTGATTTTTTATATGAAATTTTTTTTATAACCGCTAGGTTCCTTTGTGGTTTTAACTATTATTATTGGTTAAACCAGAAACTTGGGAATCTAAATATTAGCTTGTTTAATTTCATCATCATTAAAGCCTTTTTTCAACTAATTGAAGTTTGGCTACACAAATTTTGGTCTATCATTTTGTTCTATTAAGTGCCATACAGTCTATTTAATTTCTTTGGAAATTCAGATGTAGGAATCAAAATTAAGATGTAGTGTTACTAATATCAACTACAAACCGTTCAAGCCGAAGTCCCATTCTTAAATTAGCATGTTTAATTTTTTGTAAGAATTTGTCAAAAAGAAATTGATGTCCAATGGAGTTTCATCTTATTATAGCCCATCCACACTAAACTAATAAAATGGACAGTTTAGATCAAAGTTCTAAAGTTCTTGATTTATAATTAATAGCACAACTTGTCATTAATAAATTCCATTCATCATAATGGTTGGTTAGCAAGATTATCTACTGATAACTTGATTTAACATGCACTGATTCTCTCTCAGCATATCAAGATCAGTTTATTGTGTTTCGCTTCTCTTTCTATGATTCAAATAAATTTTTATTGACATAATATACCGTAAGAAAGGCGATCACTCATTTCAGACCTTCTCTCATGACCATCCACACTTGCAGAGATCGCACAATGGCCTGTCCAAAGTAAGCAACTGTATAACCAGACTGAAGGAGAAAGAATCACGAAACCAATAATCTTAATGGAGAATACATAAATACTTAGATTATTAGAAACTGCTTTACCATTGATTATTAGAGAGAGAAAATTGTCATTTATGAATCAAAGAGCGAAAATAAAATCAGCTCAGAAGTTCACATGAAAACAAGAGAAATAGAAAGGCTGAGAAATTGACAGGAGAGAGAGTCCAATGGAACAGCTGAAATAATCACTCTGAATGGTTGGGTAAGATAGGTAATTAAGACCTTTGGATAACTCAAGGGTTCTCAATCACTGATCCAGCATTATTTACGTGCCGAATGATCAAATATCATGGTGTTGCCCATGACCAAAATTTAACATGATCAAATTTCTAGGACTATTACCATTATTGCTAACTAACTGAATATCAACAATTCAACAAAAGTACAAAAGCAATTTTATTTTGGAGTATGAAAGCAGAAACTATCTTCTTCTCATTAATAATTCAAAGGCCCCCTGGTTGTCCTTCCTCACTGTCTCCTTCAGTTGTAATGGGGAAATCAAGAATGACTAGAAATATGTCCCTGACATCTTTTCAGAAGAGCTCTTACATACCTAGAAATTGAAAATCTTGCCACCTTAACGGCAGAATTTCAAGCTTGTTTCCTACCCTCTTGGGTCATGATCGTATTATTTGGTCCCGTCACCAACGGGGACCTTCTCAGTTTCCTCATTCTTTCGTAGTTTATCTCTTCCCCCAACCTTCCCTCTAGCTCCTAAAGTTGTCGCTGCTCAGGCCTGGGCACCCTTTGACCCCCACCCCCCACCCCCCAAAATCAAGATCTTCATGTGGTTGGCCCTCTCCCAGAGAGTATTCACAGTATATCAATTGCAAAGAAGTGGAATCCCGATTCCTAATCGACGTGTCATGTGTCTTGAAACAAAAGAGACCAACAACCACCTTCTACTGCACTGCCCCTTTGCTTTCAATTATGGGGGGCAATTCTCAAACTATTCACAGTGCAGTGGGTGTTACCAAAAGCAGAGACATCCATTATTTCTTCCATTCAACCTTATCCTTGGCACAAGGCAGGAATCCTCCTTTGGAAATCAACGGTGCAGCTGCCATGTGGGCTCTTTGGCTCGAGTGCAACAATAGAATTTTCCGGGGGGGGATTTTCACTGTGGCACAAAGTAATCAACAAGCTTAAGCCCATGGTTATCTTTTGGGCGACCAATCAACAATGTTTCAAAGGAGTCTCTGCTTCGGCTTTCAGCCAGGCCTGGAGTACTGCTCTTCAATTCCATCGCGCGCATCTACCGAGGGCCTCACGATGGAAACCTCCAGCCTCAGGTCAGTTTAAGCTCAATTTCAGCGGCTTTTCCCTTGGTGATCCCCGCCCATCAGGAATAGGAGCAATCCTCAGAGACCACTCCGGTACTACTATGGCAACTATCTCCAAACATATTGGTCACACCAACTCCATGGAGGCTGAAGTTTTAGTACTCTTGGAAGGCCTTAAACTCATCCAACCCCTCCAAGTGCATTCACTTGTAGTGGAGGGAGACTCTAGGAACACCATCTCTTGGGCTCAGAATCTTTCTTCCTCCCCTCCTCCTTGGTCCTTGGCACACTTGTTTGACAAGATTGACAACCTTTGCAGGAATATGTCCGTTGTGTGAATGCATACTTGGAGGGAAGGAAACTAGGAAGCTGACTCCCTAGCAAAAGAAGCAGCGGCGATGGCTAGCAACTAGAAGATTTTTGGGTTTTTTGGTTTTTTGCTCTCATTCTGTGGATCAACCTGTTTTCCTAGGTTGTTGTGCCTCATTGTAACCTCTTAAAAAAGGATTTTGATTCCGCGTTTCTGATTTGTCTCTCCCTTGAGCATCTTCACTTATGGATCGCCAAGGTCTCTTGTACTATTCTTTCTTATATATTAAAGGTTAACATTATCAACAAAAAAAAAAAATGTCCCTGACATCTTCCACTCTCTTGTCCTTTATATGTCATGTGCACAAGTATGGTCGAACAGTTTTTTTTGTTCAAGTAGTCTGTAGCCCGATGGTGATAACCATTGGATTAATCACAACAACAGAATCATCAGAAACTTGTAAAATTATGTTTTACTTGAGGCAGAAAATATGTTTACTTCCCCACACTTATATGATGGAGCCTGAAAGAGACCTATGGTATAAGATAAATAGGAACCAAAATAAAAACATGCAGAAAACATGCTCCTAAAGATAGAAACTGCAATTCAAAGTTACTGAAATTCTAAATGGCAAAAGCCCAAATATATATATATATAGAGAGAGAGAGAGAGAGAGAAAGAGCAAGAAATAAATGAAAATTCCATTGCTAAGCCTAGCATAGCACAAATTGGCATTAACATGGTTGCACTTAAGAGAGTAGCAACTTAAACATTTTTGCGATTACATTACCAATAAAAATACGTACTTAGAAGTAGTCGGAAAAGATATGGGAACTTATGGCCTCATTGAGGATATGACCTTTAATAGAGCAGAATGGAAAATCAGGATTCATGCAGCCGACCCCAATTAATTGGGAAAAGGCTAAAATGATGATGACATTACAAATAAAACACATAAAATGGAATCTAACAGAACAATGGTCAATAAAAATATCATATAGTGAGAAAAAGATGTCTACTCATGATAAATTCAACTCAATGCATAGTCACTGCAATAACCATGTCAATCTTTGCCAGCAGGACACAAGAGTTGCATAAGTCACAAGTCTAATAAATTCAACTCAATGTATTGGTCCCTACAAATCTAATGTATGTCCATTTCAATATTAAGGACGAAGACTCGCAACATGCAGAACAATGAGCTAAGCAATAAAAATTCCAAAAGTGAACACAAATAGAATACCTTACATGAGCTGTTAACTGATATAGAATTTCTTACTCCATGATTCCAAGATCGACTTTGCCCAAGTAGCTGAGGAGAGTTAATGCCAACGCAGTTTCTGCCTTCAGAACACATGCACAGAGCTGCGGAGCACATGATTAGGATACGCAGAGCATAAGAAATGTAGCAAGATTTCTATATAAATATAGCCACTATCTTTTCCCCTGGAGGATATGTTTTCTCCAAAGCTTTCATATCTTCTTCTAGGAGAAGCAACTCCAGAGTGAACATAAAAGCATGTGATTAAATTATCATGAATAAGAATATAGTTCCCATCAGTATTTTGTAATACATTGACATAAAACAATATCATTCTCCTAAGAAAGAAAATGGGCACAGAAGAGTTTTGCCTTGC